CCACAGACATTGGGCTGAGGAAAGGTGGCCCTAGAAAGTTATGTTTTCTATCTGAGAATGAACAGATATCTTCCTGGAAATGAACAACTAGTGAAATAAAACATGGGTAGATGTGTGTGTGTGCACATTTGTGTGCACACATGTAGACGCCAGAGGTCAATGTCAGCCATCTTCCTTGATTGATCCCTGTCTTATTTTTAGTGTTTTGCTATGTTCATTTGAGACAGAGTCTCACTATGTAGCCTTGGCAGGCCTGAAGCTTGTGTAGACCAGGTTGGTCTCAGACTCACAGAGACCCACCTTCCTTTGCCTCCCAAGAACTGAGATTAGAGGTGTGTGCCACCACATCTAACTTCCATTTAATTTTTGAGACACTGAACCTGGAGTTTACCAGTTGATGGCTAGCCAGGAACTCCAGAGACCTTCCTGCCTTCACTTTTCCAGGACTGGGACTAAGACAATTACCACCAAACCCAGGTTGTTTTGTTTTGTTTTGTTAGTGCTGGGGATCCACACGACAGTCCTCATATTTGCTTACTAGGTGCTTTACTGACTGTACCCTCTTCCCGGGCTCAGCACAATTGTTGCCTGGGAACATTTTAGAGCAAACCCAGCCTAAAACCTATCGTGTGTGTGTGTGTGTGTGTGTGTGTGTGTGTGTGTGTGTGTGTGTGTGTGTGTGTAAAGTCATCTTCCTGTTCTTCCTTACAAGATAAACCATTTGTGAAACACACACCAAGTTAGCAATGAGGAGGTCTGCATGGAATGAAGGACTGTCTAAGAGCTGAGTGACAGCTACCAACAATGACAGCTAGCTGAGCGCCTGTTTGCTCTGAAGTCTCCTTTCTGGCAGTAAGTGAACAGTGAGATCAGCTGTATCCAGAGGTTCTGTACTGAAGCTGAATTTCCCCAGAAAATTCAGATCGCATGGCTGGAGCAGAGCTGGTTCCCATCCCCACCCCTGATAGGGATCCCAGCTGTCTGCATGTTTTCCTGGGTTGCTGAAAGTCTGGAGATAATGAAGTGCCCCTCCTCTGAGGTCCTGGCAAGGAAGGCAAAGCTTCTCTTCTTTCTCCTCCTTCTTAGCAGTTTGAGACTTTGTTTTACTTTATAACCTAAGCTGTCCTAACGGCGGTCCTCCATTCTACGTCAACACTCCCCCGCCCCCGTGTGTAACATATGTGCACATGTGTGTGCAGGTGTCCATGTCTGTGCATATGTGTAGATGCCATAGGAGTGCATGGGGAGTCTTGTTCCATCACATTCTACTGGGGCAGGGTCTCTCCCTGAGCCTGAAGCTAGACTGATGGCTAGGAAGTCCTGGCAATTCTCCTGCCCTCTGCCTCTAACAGCACTGGCTTTCAGGAGCATGCATGGCCATTGTCTACCTTTTTACATGGCCCCTGGGGATCACTTGGGTCCTCATGTTTGCCCAGCAAGTGCTCTTACCTACTCAGACATCTACCCAGGCCCCTAAACTCTTCTTGAGCCATGAAAGCACATGGCAGAGCCCACCAACACTGAGTACCTTCAAAGACCAAAGCAATGAAAAGACCTTTGTGCCATTCACCCTTCTTGCTGTCCACAGCTTCCTGGGCATTGCAGACCCTTCTCAGCAGACCCGTCCACTTCCCAGCCCTCGTCCATAGAAGCACAGTTCACCCTTGCACAAGCCCCTAGCCTCCTGGACCAGTCCCTCTGGCTGACCCCTGTCTCCTTCGTCTTACCCTCCAGCTTGCTCTTTAGGGTTAGTCATAATAACCCTCACATCAGCAGAGCAGAAGATCACCTTCCATCTGCCTCACAACCACAAGAAGGTGGGTGGTGGGAGGCTAATTATCATCTCAATTTTACAAATAAATAAACAGGCTCAGAATCGCCCATGTTTTCCCACAAGCATGCCTTAGTGAGTATCCAGAAAGGAAGCACAGCTCTATACTCCAAGCTCTGAACTGTGTTACACACTCCTAACCCTCCCAAAGCAGCCCCCTGAAAGCAGGAGGGAGTCAGCTGTATTAGGGAACTTACAGAGCACATAGTCTTAGGTATGTGTGTAGAGACACAAAGCAAAAAGGAAGGGGCCCTCTGGTACCCTATTATGTTATCAAGGAACCCAAGTGTCTCCATTCACCTCTTCACTTTACAGGTGTAGAAACTGAGGCTCAGAGAGAAGGAAGGCTCATGTGTTGAATGCTCAGCCTATTAGAATTGGCCACCAGTACCTAGGTGAGGGTCAGGGTGACAATCTCCCTCAGCCACACAAACCCCTGTCTGCCTCTCACCCTCCATCTTCTGTCTGTCTACCCTTGGGGGAACACAGGACTGAGCACTGCTGTCTCTTGGACCCCAATTTGGCAGCTGACCATCTCTCTAAGTCCAAGAGTTTATTATCAGTCTTTACCACAAAGTGAGTGTTGACCAGTATGAACTCCTGGGTCTAGAATGCTAGGACTTCTCACTGGAGATGTAAGCTGGGTCTGCATGAGATGGGATCCCATGGAGGGCAGTGTTTATGGAGGTGCATGTTGAATTTCCATGGGGGCAGGAAAAGCACCTTAAAGAAGGTGGAGAAGAGAGGCACCGAGGAGGCCCAGGAGACCCAGGCCAAGGAGGGGACTGAGGGCATGGAAGGATGGAGGTCCAATTGTGCTCCATGTGGCTGCAGCTCAGTCCAAGGCTTGTTGTCCAAAATGGTCCAATCCCTCCTTCCTCCAGAGAAGAACACAACCTGAATGTTAACTTGACCTGACCCTGAGCAATTTGTGCCAAACAAATTTCCCTGCAGGATCTCATTGCTGCTCCACAGCCTAATATGCCATTGGGATTAATGCTCCCTTTTTGCAGACAAGAAAACTGAGGCCAGAGAAGTAGGACCAGTGCAGAACTGCAACAGAAGCAGGCACTAAAGGGCCTGAACCAGTGCCTTCTCCACTGGAGAGATCTTGTTCCTAGGACATCATTCATTGGCTAGATCCTCCAGCTCAGAGCTAATGTGTATAAATGCTTGGGCCATAGAGAGAGGCATGATATCAAAAACTGCTTCCAGTTAGAATTTTTGCAGCACCCATTCTTTCCAGTTGCATGTGAGTGTGCATACGTGTGTGTGTGTGTGTGTGTGTGTGTGTGTGTGTGTGTGTGTGTGTGTGTGTGTGTACAGGAATTGAATCCAGGGCTTCGTGCACACTAGACAAGCACTGCATCTGAGTTCCATCTCCAGCCCTTGCTTCCAGTTAAGGAGTCAGCAGTGGTTCCGCCTCAGATGTCAACATTTCCTGCACAGTACTAAACTCATTTATATAGTGATTTTGAAAACTGCATTTCACCCATTAAACAAACACCTACTGGTTCTCCTATACACCAGTCTCCTGAGCTGTCATTTAGTTGGTTTTTTGTTTTGTTTTGTTTTTCAGGGTTTTGGGTGCTTGTGCATCTGTTGTTGCATCCTACTTGAGCATCATTGGAGTGTTTGGGGAGAAGTTTTCTAGCAGGCCTTGACCCATCCAGAAAGCTATGTCCACTGTGGGGCTCCATCAGCACTCTGAGTGGAGACTGTGGGAGTCGAGGAGGAGGGAACACAAAAGAGTCAAAGAGAGCTGTAAAGTCAGGAGTAATCGCTGGAGAAGTTCCTCTCCAGTCATTAAAGAGGATCTTAATTAAGGTCCCTGAAATAGATACTCAAAACAAGCAGCTGTGGGAACCAGATCCACAGGGGATAGCACAACCGCCCAGAGGTGCTGGGTGTTAGCTGGCTCCTCACCTGTCATTAGGGAGTGGGAAATCGCCCCACATCAAAGCCAGCCAGGAAGGAATGTGACAAATGCCATTCACCTTTAAAACAGTGTTGAAAATGAACACTAGAGCCTGCCAACCATTGTGTGCGAAAACTCCTGGGGCAGAAGGACAATCTCCAGAGAGTCAAGCAAGGTGTGTCCAGCCAGGAAGAAAAGTTAGATGCCTAGAACTGGGAACTGAGTCCACCTTGCCTGCTTGACTTGGATAGGCTTCTCCTGACCTTTGACCCCCCCAGTTTTTCTGGAACTGAGGCCCTATCGGCCTACCACCCTACCACCTTCTCTGCCTTTCTGCTTTGGGTCCAAAGCAATGTCATAGTGACAGAGAAACTAAGGAGACAGAAACAGGAGGACTGAAAGAACCAAATAGATTTAGTTCTCAGACAGTTCATAAAATGTCTGAGCTAAATCAGCTGTGAGAAGGCTCTCCTGAAATACCAGTTTCTCAAATACCTTTCCTTTATCCTTCACCTTCAAATCCAGCACATGGAACCCAGCTTACAAACTTGGGTCCTTTGAGCAAGTTCAAGCTCTCAAGTTCATTCTTTCAGAGCCAGTGCAGATGAGGCCCCATCCTCCATCATGGCTTTCAGCTCAGGAAGATGCTGAGGGCCAGTGGAGCAGTAGAGCAGGCCCCTTTCACGGTCTCTGAAGATACATGGCAACCTTTTGCTGTCTCATCCTGACCAGACATCAGCCATCACAGTGGGGAGGGGTAGGAGGAGTGAGGCCAGGGTGAGCCCAGCCAAACTTGGCCCTGCTTCATATTCACACCAGGAGCCAGAGAAGCTCTGGGATTCATGTGAACTAAAGTGGCCAGAGGGGGCTTCCAAGTGGAGACAGCATGGAAGCTGGGCCTTGAGGATGGACAGGAGTTGGCACAGAGAAAAGAAGGGACACCCTTTGCAATGTCAGCTGTATCTTTTCTGCCTTGGCCAGTTGCTGGGGGCAGGGGACACAGCTTAAATGTCCTAACCAAATGCATATTGAAATCTAATCTCTATTGTGACTGTTAAGAGGCAGGGCCAGGTGGGGCCTTCACGAGGTGGTGAAGTCATGAGGGCTCTGCCCTGGCTAACAGTTGGTTAATCCACTCATAGATTAATGGGCTATGAAGGTATATCAAGAGTGGATCTGTTATAATAGAAAGTGTGGTTCCATCTCTTGGATGAGTCCCTCTCTTCCCCATGATGCTCTGTGCTACTCCAGGACTTTACAGGTGTCCCTTCCACAACAAGATCCTCAGAAGATACATTCTCCCAACCTTGGACCTCCCAGCCTCCACAACGACGAGCTGGATGAGCCTCTATTCTTTGTAAGTTGTATAGTTCTTAGCACTTTGTTACAGCAAGAAACAAAGAGCTAAGACAAGGGACACATGCTCTGAATTGTGTTAGATGAGCCCTAACAGCCAAAGGCTGCTCTGTGGCAGGGAGTGGACAAGATGAGGTCCGTATCCAAAACCCCAGCGAGTACTCCATTTGGTGTTTGAGTAGCTGTATTGTTCTCACACCCTGGGTCACAACCCAAGATGGGGGTCAAGATGGTGCTAGGGAAATTCCCAAGAATCCATAAGAATGACCCCAGCTAAGATTCCTAGCAATAGTGGAGAGGGTGCCTGAACTTACCTACCTGTAATCAAATTGTTGACTACCCTAACTATCATCATAGAGCCTTCATCCAGTAATTGATGTACCCAGATGCAGAGATTCACAACCAAGCACCAGGCCAAACTCTAGGAATCCAGTCGAAGAGAGGGAGGAGGGAATACATGAACAAGGGAGATGAAGATCACGATGGAGCAATCTCTAGAGACAGCTGAACCAAACTGGTGGACACTCATAAAATCCAGACCAGCAGTTGTGGAGCCTCCAAGGGACTGAAGTAGGCCCATGGGAAATGTATAACTTGGTCTATCCGAGGATCACCCTGGCAGTAGGACCAGGATCTATCCCTGTTGCATGAGCTTGCTTGGGGAAGCCCATTCCCTAGGGTGGGATGCCATGCTCAGCCTTCATGCAGGGGGAGGGGCTCGGTCCTGCCTCAACTTAATGAGCCAGACTTTGTCAACTCCCCAGGGGAGCCCTTATCTGTTGGAAGGAATGGATAGGGAGTGGGCTGCAGGGGAGGGTCAGAGGAGGGGTAGGAGAGAGAATTTTGGTTGGAATGTAAAATGAAATAAAAAATAAAACAATGGGAAATAAAAAAGAGAATAACTCAGCTAAAAGACATCATTATAGTATTTATAACAACCAAACAATATTTGTAAATATAACAATACTTATAACAACTAAAAATTAACTTAAGTTCTGATGCAAAATGACTCATGGGTGGTTTTCACAGTACTCACTGGTGTATCACTGCAGTCCTGACTCTGAACAGACTTGCATGAACTTTCCGAGTGCATACAACCATTCCAGGCAATGTTGATAAGCGCTACCTCTAGAGCCATGGCTCAAAGTCAATACTACTGTCTGAGAACTGCCATGCTTTTATTGTGCCAAGGTTTCTGCTCTTATAGAAGCATAATGACTTCATTACAGAAAATAAAGACCTTTGCTATTTTTCTAGCATCATCCCTCAGCATGTATCAAATCAGAGTACCTTTCTATTTTATTGTGGTAGGTGGATAATCTATCTCATTAGCATAACAATTTACTTTTTGTCCTTAAAATGACAAAATTATATGTATAGCCAAAAAGTTGTCAAATACATTTCTTTATGACTTTGATCTGTTACCTGTTTACTAAGTGTTCCTGTGTGTGCACAAGTAGGCCATAGGTCAACAACGTTGGGTATCTTCCTCAACTGCTCTCCTCATTTTTGAAGACAGGGTCTCTCACTGAACCTGGAGTTCACTGAGTTTGGCCAGGCAAGCTGGCCAGCATATCCCAGGGAACATGTGCTGCTATGCCCAACTTTATTAACATGGGTGCTAAGGATTGACCTCAGCTCATGGAGACTGCACAAAAAGTGTTTTACCAACTGAGTCATCGCCCCAGCCTCCTATATGTCCTTAGACTTTATTTGTTTTATTTTATGTGTATGAATGTTTTGTCTGCATCTATGTCTAAGCCTGCTGTCTATGACAGTCAGAAGAGAGCACTGTATGGCCTTGAACTGGTGTTTCAGATAGTTGTGAGTCTCTCTACAAGAGTCCTCTACAAGAGCAACAAGTGTTCTTTGCTGCTGAGCCATCACCCCAGCATCTACCTACTCTATGAACCAATATACCCAGTGTAAAAGTGCCAGGGAAAAGGGGGCAGTGAGTGAACAAAGCTTAAGAACTACTCTATTGGATGGGTCCAAGAAGCCAGGACCATAGGTATCTGGGCATTAGACTGGAAGGGCCTCCAGGCCTCCTCTCTTATGTTCATGGGGATTCCTTGCAGTCTGCGAACCAGGCCAGTCTCCTCTGTATTGTGCATACAGGAAATACAGAGTGATTTGGCCACAAAGCACGGGCAAGAAGTCTGATCTAAGGGGAAACTTGGTTTGACAAACTCCTTAAGAGTTAGGGATGGTCTTAGAATCCTTTGCCCACAAGGGCTTAACCAGGAGCAGGGAGTGATGGACTGGGCCTGTGGCTCATCCTGTCCAGTTACTAAGGTGTTCTGAAGGGCAGACCCTCATTGCTCCCACTTAGTAAAGTGTTTAAACCAGGGGTAGTCACCATTCATAAGAGGGAGAAAAGGAATGTAGGTAAAATAGACAAACCAAGGAATAAAGCCCTAAGTAACCTTTGGGTCATCATTCAATTAAACAGCAGGGCTAGCACTGTAGCTCAGTGGCAGTATGCATGCCTAGCATGTGCCAAGCTCTGGGTTTGAATCCCTAGCAATTCACTGTAATCTAAGTCTTAAATCAGCCTGAATTTCCCTTCAGCATTTAGGTAATAAAGTGATTTTGGAAATTTGCCATTTAAAAACTGAAAAGCCCTCCACACCTGCCTGTCATGATGGGACTGAGAAAGGTCAGAGTTGAGCTTACCATCTGCACCATTCTAAAAGCCATAGTTGCTACTATAGCTATGGACACTCTAGGTTCCAGCACTGGTTTCCCAGGATCTTTGGACTGAGCTGTGTAATCCTCATATAGTCCTACAAGGTGCCCTCAATCATTTCTGCAGCTGAGAAAACTGTGGAGCAAAGACAAGGAGACCCAGAAGCAAAGAAGCAACAGAATCTGGGGTTTGAAGCCCTGTGCCTGCTCACTGCACACCTGCACGTCCTCACCAGCCTTTCCTACTGACCTCACCAGCATTCTCAGAAGGGAGCTTCATCCATAGCCAGCTGTACCAGAATCTAACATGAAAAAAAATCAACCCTCACAGTGATCAATCACATGCATGTCTGAGACGCTATGAGTCAGTCATGTGTAAAACAAAGTTTGGCACCCTAATAGAATAAATTAAGGGCCTCTTTTTCCAAATCCTACATGTGGGCCCACTGCCTGTCAAAGGGTTGAACTGAACACAAAAGCTTTCCAGGAAAGACAAGGGCATGTGATTCCGACCAGACTCATAGGGAAGCTGTGACAACACCTTAGAAAAGCCTTTGTAGAGGATGAGGGGTACTTCGCATGCTAGACACAAGCCAGGTGGTGTCACATTGGAGAATGAACATGGGGATGCTATTTCCCAGCAACCCCAGGGACCCTGAGTGTGTCTGTAGGAGAGTTTGCCAGGCAATGAATGGGCGGGGCTACCGTGCTGCTGTGCTGTCAAGTGGGCACCACAGCCAGGCATACTCTTGGGGTCATAGTATCTCAGAGTGATTTACAGAAAAAGTACACAGATAGAGACAAAATTCCTTTGGTCAATGCCAGACCCAGACATTGGCAGAGGTCATGCTGATGTCCCCATTGTTCCTACCCTGTGGCTACTGTCCTCATTGGAAAAACCAGAGTGACTCTTCAGCCTTCAAGACCTCCAACTTCCCAAGAGTAAAGACATCTGAAGAAGGGAGGAGTATCAGCTGCACAGTTGGCCTTCACTCAGGCAGCAGCAGAGTTTTAACGCACCACAAACTAGAAACTTGGGGCGGGGGGCAGTGGATGAAGCTGGGACAATGCATTGGGATGAGCTTTCTGGCAGAAGACTCCAAAAGCCTACCTGGCAAGTGGAAATTCCAGTCCCATCCTGGGAGAATGGGACATGCAGGCAATTAGCTCACTTGTTTTAACTATCCTCAAGTTTCCCCAACCCCCAAATCACAGCTGGGCAGGTCCCCAGCTGGGTGAGTATGGGCCAGAGGGTGTTAGCAAAGGGTGGAGGCCCCAGCCTTTCTCCGATGGAGAAAGCCACCTATGACCTCACAGGATAAAAGGAACCAACCCAGGCCTACCTAACTGTTATTACAACAATTACCAAGACCCATCACCTCCCTTTGGGAAAGGTCCTCTTTCAAGTTTCAAGGCCCTGGTGTCCCCTGGTTCACGGTAGATCTCAATCATTACTGGGTGCCCTGTGCAACTTATTAATTTGTTTTTTTCCCACGTGGATTAGTGGATCCTGTTGAAAGGTCTGCAGTTTTGCAAGGAACTCATATAGGGCCACTGCAAGGGGTGGTCAGGAAGCAAAAGCATGCATATACATGAGTGTGGGAGTGCTGTGAGGGAGCACATGTGTGTGCATGGGTGCATGTGTGCATGTGTGCATGTATGCATGGGTGCATGTGTGCATGGGTGTGTTCCAAGGCAATGCATGTGTGCATGGGTGTGGGGGTACTCTTCTGGTTCCAGCCCCCTCAGCCCCCTCCCTGGCTTATCCTGGTGTGAAGCATGGTGATGTCAAGAGGTGTGGCTGGCTTTGATCCTGCTCAACATCCCTACTCATGAGCAACAGGAGGAGGGAGGGAGGACTAGGGGAAGGTTTTCCTAATTTTTTTCCTTGTTAGATGACTCACTCCTGCCACACCCCAGGGGCAGAAGCTTCCAAATGCTTGGGTTGAGACTCCAGGACATTCAGGGACCCTATTTCCTTCTAGAAGTTTAATCAGGAAAGGAGTTCTCCCACATTGAGTCTCCTCTGCGTGGGGGAGATTGTCTGCTCAGACCCCAGCCACGCTGAGATTGTCTTCACTACCTTCGGCCAGCAGGGAAAAATGGCGAAAATGACTTCTTGAGGAAAGGCTGACACACAGACAGAAGCTTTAGACTCCTCTGTGATATCCACAAGTTCAGTTCCTCTTATAGAAGGGATCAGGAAAGCTCGCCAAGGCAAATGTCCCATAGAGGAGCACATGGCTGGTCAGCCAGAGAGAGTCCATTGTTCCCATTCTGGGGGACACAGTGGTAATTCCTTATAATCTTAGCACTAGGAAGGCAGAGACAGGAGGGTCTTTGGGGCTCCCTAGGCCAGCCAGCCAGCCTAGCTTGCCTAGTGAGCCACAGTAAGATACCCTGTCTCAAAACCCAAGTGGCTATCTCTTAAGGGATGACATCCAATTTTGACTCTGGCTTCTTCACACAATGAAACATGTGCATAAACATCCAAATACCCAATCATTTTTTTTAAATGGACCACTGAGTCAGGAATGGTGGTTTACTTTTAGTCTCAGCACTTGGAAGGTAAAAACAGGTATAGCTCTGTGAGTTCGAAGCCTTCCTGGTCTACATAGCAAGATCCAGGATAGCCAGGGCTACAAAGAAAGACCCTATCTCAAAACAACGACAAAAGCAATGAAAGCTTTTTGTAGTTTTTGAAGGTTCATATACACTGTAGCTGTCATTTGAGTATTGTGCTCACACCAAGAGATTGCCATGAAAATGACTCCATTTTCTAGATGAGAAGACCAAACCCCAGAGAGGCATATGCTCATCAGATTAGCACAGTCAGAAGGTGCTGGGATTCAAGGCCAGAAGGCCCGGGCCTGCTCTCTATGTCCTGTCACTGGGATTCCTATTCCTCTATCTCCTCTGAGGCAAACAGCTCTTTCGGAAGGCTTTCCCACTCCTGCCTGCAGTGGGCATGGCATTGTTCTCCATGGCCCTCTTGGGAGCCATCACAGGCCATGAACTATGGAGAACGGTGGTGTGGCTCTAGTTCTCCACACAACTACCACCCAAGTTTGGCAAAGTGTCTGTCTTCAGTGGATGTCCATGCCAGCACTTAAGTGGGCTGACAGGATACCTACCCTCTTTCTACTCAATGTTACTCCTCACAACACCTGGCTCACACAGCTTTGGGTTGTTTTAAAGCAGCAGATCACAACCTGTGGGTCACAATCCCATTGGGGGAGGTCAAATGACCCTTTCACAGGGGTCACCTAAGACCACTGAAAAACAAAGCTACTTATATTATGATTCATAATAATAGCAAAATTACACTTACAAGGTAGCAATGAAATTAATTTTACAGTTGTGGGTAAGCACATCATGAGGAACTTTGTTTAAAGGGCCGTAGCATTAGGAAGGTTGAGAACCACTATATTAAAGGCCAAAAAGAAACTATCCTCTACACTTGGGCTCACCTGGCTTCCAGGAAAGTCAAGGCAACAGTTGCTGACATATCTGGATCAAGCCCTCAACCTCTTCCCATGTGGATTCTGGAAGTTTCTGTCTCGGGTGTGAGGATGGTGCCAACGGAGAGGTCAGGGTTGTAAGACAGACTCAGCCAGAAAGATGGGGTCGGAGACAGAGAAAGAGAGGGAGAGAGAGAATCAGAGACACAGAGAGGAAAGAGAGCATGCTGGGGAATGTAGAGACATTGCTGGGGGGTAAGAAGAAGGT